AATAATAAATACAATGTTTTATTAAGTACCCCTGTGCGTACTAGTTTGGCCAGTAAAGCAAATTTTCAAGTGAGTTTTAGAACGAGTGGACGTACTCTCTACAGTATTTAGTTCGTGCTTATAGAAAAGGCAGTCCGATGTTAAAAACTGGTTAGCAAGCAGTGAAACACTCCTTTTTGGAAAAAAGACAAAATGAATGTGGTTTAATTAGCATTTAGGGAGAAGAAAACCGTAACTCATAAAAGGACAGGACTGGCCCGCACATGGTAGTGTATAAAGGACTCGAAACAGACATAGACAAGGCAGAAGTTCTAAACCGGACGAGGCTCTCCGCCTCAAAATAGCGAGACAAGAGGAAGTTAGACGGGATGGGACAGGAGAGGACAGCAAAGGCTGAGGCGGCCATCAAAGCCTACAGGCGAGGTGTGACCATGAGACCTCTTTGCTGCCCGAAAAAACTACTAGCAAGTGCCGAGAACAGAGGATTGCGTCGTGATCGTCAACCATCCGCTGGGGTCGAATTGTGGAGATGACACCAAAAAACAGTTGAAAATATCGATCGGGAATGAGAGCTAGAAATTTCAGAGGCCAGAGTGGATTCTCGGTGAGGGTCGGCGGTTAGCAAAATGGTGGCGGTCTAGAACGTGCACATAAACCCGCCTCCGCTACTTCTCTAAAAGAATTTGTTAGGGAGGACATCACGCTCTGTGAAGGACACCATTAATGGACTGAACGATCTAAAAATCAAAATTTCTAACGAGAGATCCTAGAAATCGAAACCACACGCAGAGCAGGAAATGGGAGCAGATACGGAAAGTTAATGGCGGCGTCCTAAATTCCTGATGGTCTTTTTTTAAATGTCGTAAAGAAAGTTGTCCCGGAAGAGTGAGGAAATTAAAAGTTTGATCGGGTTAGTATTCAGCCTTCTCTTAAACCGTATAGATTATCTGATGATCCTTTATCTACTGGAGGATTATTCCAAAGGAAAGTATGCCTGGCGACGAAGAAAAGAGAGCGCTTAGAAATGGGGAGGCGGCAGGAGGTATAGTCAAGGAAATATTACGAAGATCGTGTAGGCCACTAACAGGGAAGATTTGAACTATTATTAGTGCGAAAAAGGAGACAGAAGCCTGCTTCTAGTCTTCGGACCCATAAAAATTTTAGGTTAACTAGCTGGCATCTATCTGAGTAGGAGATTTTTGGATTTTCTCTATCTGAAAGTTTTTTCGAAAAACGTCTTTGGGCATTTTCAATTCTAAAACGACTAGCCTCATTTATCAAACCAAAGAATGGCAACAATACTCGAGAATTGGAAGCACAAAAATACGATGGAGCCTTAATTTGATTTCGGGAAGATAGTGGGAACGTGCGCAGTTACCTGCGTCACTGTTGACATTTAGTTTTTTTGCTACCGGGAATGCCAGCGGTAACGCAAGGTTATCCGATCTCGAGTCTGCCTTTACCGACCGACTGAAAATGTCGCTTAATAAGTATGCAAAATGGGTTCGGAATAAACGAATTATAATGCGATCGAAAAAGAAACACCAGCGGTTGATGATCAGTATGCAGTGTGAAAGGTCTGCCCCAAATAAACTGGTGAAATCTCTGCACGGCGGAGATAATGGTCAGTACCTCCTTTTCTATTCGGATATAATTCCGCTCTGCCTTCGTCAGTGACCTGGCGACATGCATGATTGGTTGGGTTTTCCCATCTGCGTCCTTTTGAAGGGGAAATCCGCCCAAATCTTAACCAGAGGCGTCTGCCTGGACAATGATTTCTTTGTCAGCCTCGAAATGCGGTAGCATTGTCGTGTAGCATATCGTTGTCTTTATCGCATCAAATGTGTTTTGACATACCGGAGACTAAACAAACTCCGCGTCCTTGAACAGAAGTCGGCTGAGTGGATGTTCTAAACTGTGCAACCCAGTGATGAAGGTCCGTAGTAGTTGAACAGCCCCATAAACGATTGCAGCTTCTTCACGTTCTTCGGTACTTTCCTGTTCCGGAATGCCTTCGCTCTCTCTGCTTCAGGTGCATGTTGACTATGAACTCGAGACAGCGTATCTCCTTCCACAGAAATTCGCTATCTCCATATTGATCTTAAGGCCGTAGTCGATGAGGTTGTCCACAACCTGGTCTAGCTTTTGAGTCAGCACTTCCTCTGAGCTACCAACAACCAAAATATCGTCAAGATATGCAATAGTCCCAGGGACATTCGTAAGCATCTTATCCATGATCTGCTGTAACACATTATGGGCCGTCTTCGCGCCGTAGTCTAGGCGAGTGTATTTGAAGAGACCCTGTGCGTATTGATGGACGAAAATTCCTGTGACTCCTCGTCCATGTCAATTTGTAAGTAGGTCTCGGATAAATCGATCCTTGCAACCCCCCATTTATTGTAGCGAAAATCGATTCTAAGCTTAGTAGCTGATAACGATAAATAATCCACACACAATCGTATTGGTCCGTGGGGTTTCTTCACCGCCACGACTTGAGCAGCCCAAGCTGAATAGTTGGTGGGAAATATTGTGCCTTTGCCTATAGCCTTTGTAGTTCAGCTTCCACGAACGACTGTACCGCAAACGGGACCCGTCGGCTTTGCTTGAAAACTGTAGGCGAAAGAACCTGCAGCAGCCGCTTCAGTGACGCCCGCTACGGCGCCTCTTTGTAAGTCAATGATCGCGACAACCGCGGACACGGCAACCCCCTCAAACCTGAGCTGGGGCGCCTCTTGTTTGGCTGCAATGAGTCGCGCCCGCGCACACAAACTTCCGTCACTTAGCGCGCGTCAGACGGCCTGGATTGTCATCCGTGTGCCCTTGTGCTCATGCTCCTCCCCTCGCCCCTAAATCAGCCAATCACATTGCCAAAACTCGACCAGACACTCTCTCGTGCTGACACGGACATGTGACCTAAACAAAACACCGCTACTTACGGTCTCCCAGGCGGTCGCTTTACCTTGACACAAAAGCAAACAGCCAAGCCACGTCAACCTGCTCTGTGTACAGAATAAACTGATCCCCACACCATCTTGACTTCTGACATTAGACGGAATCAACATACGGTTAGAGCTGATTTCACATCCTTAACCCCCACAAATCAGGGCACTGACTAGATGCATCTTTGATCAGGAAAAGTCATCCCTCGACAAGTCCCGAAGGCTTCGACTGACAAGTAAGCAAACCTACTGTTTACAGGTGGATTCCAGCAATCAATGGAGCTGCTGTTATGTACTAATCCCCGCACGCACCCGTGCTCACCGGATACTTGCCCGGTACGTTCTCTGCAACGGCTCTGAATGAAGACCTTTGTGCGGGAATCATCAATCATCCAGAAGAGACAACTAAGGTGATTTCAACACTTCGTCCGGCACCACAAGTCCAGCGCTGTTACCTCAGATTCGAAATGGGAATGTGCGCGCCCGCTCCAAAGATGAGCTTCTGCTAGACCCCAGTACATATGCCCACGCCCTAACTTCCTGACACTAACGCCCCTCCGGGAGTCTAGCCCAATACCACCCGTAGTACGGGGGAAGTTCTTATAACCGGGCTCTAACTGGTCTCTGTGTGTGGAGGCGGCTGCCAGCTAAAAGCCCCGCCCAAAACAGTCAGTTAAGATATAAAGATGATCGTAGAGTCCCTGAAACCCGATCTCGGTGCAGACAGGATAGCAGTAAAACGGATCTTCTGATGAGAAATGCGAAGGCCTCACCAAATCAAGGGGATTGTATGGCTGACGTTTCGGCGCACTTGGCCGGCTCTCCACCAACCACCAGGATTTTGAAAAATGCAACTGAATTAGTTGGCCTCGGCCTGATTCATTTTCATCTCTTCTTCTGCTGCCTTGGCCTTCTGGCCGTTATGAATGCTGGCAGCCTCCTGCGTTGTCTGTTGTCACGTCAATGGGGTTCAGTTGCATCTGTGCTCCCCTTTCGGGTTAATTGGTCAATGAGCCACATTTGCACGCCACTTTTAAGCTCCGTGCGAATGTTTTGTCTTGGTTATGGCGCATGTAGTGGCGTAGGGCCTTATAGGCCGCGGGAAGGTCTAGATGCCTGTTGATGGAGTTGGTATCTGAGTACCAAGTCTCAAGTGTGAGACGTTCTGTCCTTGAAGTGTCCCGGCCTAAGACAGTTGCTCCTCGGGAGTCAAAACTGTGGCCAGTCTCTCCGATGAGAGTTGCAAGCTGTGTTCGGGTCTATTTCCCCAGTTGGCAGTTGGTGCTCGTGTAAGCGGGTCTGCAGTTCCCGCCCAGTCTCCACCGTCACAGGTGTAACCGACGTGCACTGGGGTGACGACACGCAACGCAGGAGGCGGCCAACATTCACAAACAACGGCCAGAAGGCCAAGGCAGCGAAGGAAGAAAAAAAAGTCGACCAGCCCAGGGCCAATTAATTCGGCCGTCTATTTAAAATTCCGGTCGATTTTTTGCACAAGCCCTCCGAAACGTCAGCCATACAATTCCCCTGATCCGGTGAGCCTTGCACACTTCTCGGATTATCAACCCGGACTTCTTAGGGGTGCTCTGTTATTAGCTCCCAGCCTTCAGGTGATTAGAAGCCCCCCCCCCTCCACTCGGTCACGCCAGGTGCTCAAACAGGGGGAGAAGACCGGCAAAAATCGCATATTTTAGAAGACCGCAGGAGGGCAGAGAAGGAGGAGACACAAGAAACACAGGTAATTGTATCACTAGATCTAGCAAAAAATAGTCAAGGTTAGTGGAAGAGAGAAAAGGAGGGAGAGAGAGAGAGCACTGACAGTAGGAGAAACCAACAACGTGGAGTGTGTAGAAAAAGAAAATACACTGGCAGACAACGAAGGGGGGGGGGAGCCGCAGCGGCAGTGATATTATGCTTTGAATGCAAGGGTGAAAGCTATTCAGATTGAGGGAAGAGGCCGCATCGGGGGGGGGTAGGTAAATCACTCAAATTACTGGAATGCTGTAGTCGAGGTTGAATCGCTGTCACCCGGCCAATCGGATGTGTGCAAAAGGGGAATGACTAGTATTCATCCAGACTACGGAAGCCATTGGAAATCTCTTCATGCAGAGCCTCAAAATCCCTCTCGATCTTCTCCTACAGTGTAAAAAGGTGATTGAGATGGAGAAAAAAAGAACATTCACAATTAAGGGGTTTGAAATGCAGGTGGGGCCAGGAGTCCCCCAGGAGAGGGTGGAATTTGGAGGAATGACTACAGATATGTGGTACATAGAGAACCTCCGACAAGCGGTGATTGCTCCGCTCGGCACACGGATTCAGGAATTCTGTAGACGAGAACCGTTGATTCAGCAGTCCATCGGGGACCTAGAGGAACTGCCCTTTCGCTGCAACCTAGACGTCCGATTCAGATTCGATGGTCAATTTTACCGCCAGATCAACGGAGAAGCGATGAGATCACCCTTTAGACCGCTACTAGCTGATGTCTTTATGGGAAAACTAAAGAAAACCCAACTCTGTCCGATAATGGAAGACTTTTATTCCCATGCTCACTATGCTGATTATATTTTCGCAATAGCGGATGAGAAGCTTGATTTGAACACCCGCCAGCATAAAGTGGATCAGGCTCACCCAGCGTTAACCTTTAAATTGGAAAAAGGGAACAGAGAGTGCCACCCCCCTTTTTGGACATTCTACTAAATCGAGTGCCAAATTGAACAATTAGTAGAAGTGTATTCCGCATGATAACATGGGCAGGGCAATACACAAATTTCTACAGTTTTGTTTCGCTATGCCAGAAACGAAGTTTGATCCGCTGCCTCAACAACTTAGCTAGGAGAATATGAACTCCAGATGGGCTTGAAGATGAACTCGTCCTTATACGAAACATTGAAAGAACGGCTATCCTGAAAAGCTTATCAACAAATACAATGGAGAAAGACCTCCAAAATCTGATGTGCTGACGGCTGAGAAGAAGGAATTATTTCTCATTTCGAGGGGATCCGGCGAGCGAACTCCTACATCGTCGCTTAAACGCTGCTATCTCGCGCACATACCCAGCCGCTAAGAAAAGAGTGGTTTCCACAAGCACTCCGTCTCTTAACCTTGAAGGTAAGTACAGACTGCCTTTTTAGACCTCATCAGTGTGCATCTACGCCTTCACCTGCTCCTGTGGGGCGGGTTATATTGGTCGAACAACTAGGCGTCTATCCAAGCGGATGCGAGAGCACCACCCCGTCTGGCTAAATCAAGGTGGGGAGAGTCCATCTCAAGCGCAAATGTGGTTCACTTGGTTGACGGCGGCCACCGGCTAGACGTAAACCAAGCATTCCGAGTCATCTATAAAGTGTCGGCGAGGCACTCCAGGTTCCTGCGTCAGCGAATACTTGCGACGGCAGAAGCAGTGGCCATACTGTTAGCCAACCCAGCCCTGTGCTCGGATAAAGCGTTTGTACGAGCGCCAAGGTTCCCCTGGGTAAAGACGAATCCAGCATACGTGTTCACACCCGCCATATCACGTTACAGTGATGAAGCACGGACATCTAGTCGCCGGACACTTCCCCCCCCTTCCTAAGCCCCAGACAGAACTAGAATCTGACCACTGAGCTCTGAACACTCCTCAACCCTCTCCCCCCTATTGGCTTTCATTGGATGTTTAACTTTTGCTAGTCTGCCTTCCCTTACATTAATGTACAGGTCTGATGATGAATAATCGAAAGTCCACGTTTGCCGGACTTGATTTCTTAGATGTCTACATCGCTGGACTAATTAGTTGTCGAACACTCAGGGGCTGGCTAAATTAGCTTTCGAGTGCATATCCAAAAGTGAGCCTATTTATGCACCCTTCAGCTCGTCAAACTCGTCACGTCAAGCCAGTTGGAGTCCGCGACTGTCTCTGAGGCTGGATTCGAGTGAGAATTCGAAACGTCAGGCCAGTACATTTCTTGTTCCAGTGATCGCATCTTCGTCTCCTGAACTGCTTCCTGGAACTCACCCGTTCGCTTCTATCAGCCGTTTCACGGTCGTTACTTATCATCAGCACGTCGTAGGCCATTTGAAGTGAGGTACATAGACACGTTAAGTAAGCGTTTGACCCTCACTGTTGTGGTTAGGGTCCCACTCGATCCCATTCTGTCTGTCCGCCAGCTTGCTACAGACGACAAAGAACGCTGTGTCATAGGACACATACAACATATAATACATAAGCCGCTCACTAGGAGTGCAACAGGCCAGACGCAGACAGCTGTTTCACGGCGGTTACCTATCATCAGTGCGCCATAGGTCTTTAGCAAGAAACGCTCCAACCAGCTTTAAGGCCGACCGGGGAAGTGACGTGGGGAATTGTGGGGGAGGAAAAACGCGTAGGCGGAGGGCAGGGAGGGGACGCACCTTTCCGTCCTTGACCGGATCCTTGAACTTCATGCTGGACAGCTTGTAGAGGGTGTTACTCATGCCCTCACGAATGACAGCCCAGGTGACACGGTTCGGTGATTGTGCTGTGGCCTCCACAATGTGTCGCGCCTGATCGTAGAAGCTGATAATGTTGCGCATCATGCCAACGGACTTGTAGAAGGGGCAGAATCTGGGGGGGAAAGGAGGAGAGACAGACGGCGGATCAGAGGAGGGGGGGGGGAGATGGGTCTCACTATTCTGCCAGCGTAATAGACACGCAAATGTGAGCTGGAGATGATTCATTCACCGAGTTCTGTGCAAACACACACGGCTTGGATATTTCTTTACCGAAAACTGCGAAGTTCGGTCAGTATGAAGGGTGTGTTGAAGGAGGCCTCTGTGTGACTGGTTCCATACTCAGCCAATAGACATGCAGCGCTTCTAAGGAGCTATCGATTTTGTCTTAGGCACCGCAGCCGGACGTTCTAGCTGCCAACACTGAAGTGTTGAAGCTGAAGGACAAGTCGAAATCTTCCAAATGTGACGTCATTTGCAAGAGAGCTCTGTGCATCTTTGCTGCACGTACCTGGAGCCTTCCTAATCACAAGCCAGACCGATCTGTGTAATTGAATAAAACTCAATTAATATGTTGGGGGTCTTCTGAGAGATCCGTGGCATGGATCACGACACTGTGCGGCGAGGATGAACTGGTTAGGTACCATATTGCTTTAGATCACGGGACAGAAATTCAGGAAGTTGGACTTGCTGAAGCATACAACAAGCGTAGACTGTTTCCAGTGGCTACTTACTGGTCACATATGTTGACTGCATGATCATTGCTCACCCCGCGAACGGTGGTCCTAGTGTTTAGGTTTTACAGAAGTGCCCGAACAACGTTCTATTGAAGTCACAGAAAAGATCTTCCACTAACTGAAAACCAAAGATCAGCCTAGTGTCTTCAGCCTGCCTCAGTTGAAATCCTCCAATTGGATTCTCGTTAATTCGATCTCTTGGCGCTAGACTGCAGCCTAGGCTTCTTCGTCCACTTCTACTGAATTCTGAAAGGTGAACAATACTCAGCGGGCACGTTTTTCGCTCACTCCCCAGCCCTCAGTCTTCTCCCTCATTAACAACCGTTAGACTTAAGTGCAACGCTCGTTTTTTGGCTTCCGCGGTTAGAAGGTCGGAGCTATCGTTCTGAAATACGTTTTGGAGATAAAGTGGCTCGCTGGTCAGACTCCTTAGAAGACCCGTCCGAACCATTCTGATCCAATAATATGGACGCCTCCTCCCTCAAATTCATACGATTTGTACTGCGAATTGAAACTGCCCAAACACATTCTTCGGAAGTTCTCTGTTGTCCTCATCATAATTTTGGCGCGATTTATAAGATGCTCCAAATCAGAAGAGCCTTTTCGGAAATAAAGGACAAGTTAGTTTTATGCTGATGGTTAACCAGAAGGAATAATTTATTAACTCCAGATCCTCTCCTTACTCGGTCTTTTAAAGTCTGCAGGCTTTGAAATGCGAAAACTGACGGGTGTGCGAGTGAGTTAACAGCATTCAGTATACAGGTTGACTGTGCTCATGCCGCTTGTCTGAAATTGTGCTTTTCCGCAGTGATGTTATTTTAGGTGAAAATTTTTGCTGCACAGAGAATGGCAGCGTATGAACTCACCTGTCATAATCGGAGTAGCCGTTTTGTTGAAGAAAATCGTCCTTAATCAGACGCGCCACCTCCAGGGTGATTTTGTCGCTTTCAGCCAAAGAAGCCTGCAACCAAGTGGCAGTGGGAGAGTGAATTAAACAGCGCTCGACAGGCTAACATAGCTACTTGGGAAAATGGACCGGGTTCATCGCGGGGACCCCTTACCTTGCCGACAAGCTGAACGATCTCAGAAAGATCCTTCTCCTCCTGCAGAATTTCCTGCATCTTCGTACGAAGAGCGACAAAGTCAGGGTGATTCTTTTCGTAGAACTCATCCAAAGCGCGCACGTACTTGGAGTAGGAGATAAGCCAGTTTACGCTGGGGAAGTGCTTACGCTGGGCGAGCTTCTTGTCCAGACCCCAAAATACCTAAGGGATAAACGTCGATGAATTATGACTACTAACTTATAATGAGTAGATCGTAATTAAAAAGTAGCAAGATGGCCGCCATACCAACGGCAAAATAGATGGTATGCCCCGGGGGCGGAGACTCGGATGAATTGACAGTATCGGTAGCAAAAAGGATGCATTGAAAGATTGGAGGTGTTGATCGAAGCTGATCAATACGCCCACTGCAGCAGACGTCGCCAGGAAAGCTGCATAGAACATTTGGAGGGGCTGTGACCTGTCTTGATTGTAGACTTCAAGTATCCAACAAACAGCAATCATTCGCTTTTTGTGGACGGACACCAGGGTCGCGAATAGTGTCGTCATGGCCGAATTTCTTATACCAGCGGCAGAAGCTGCCGGCGAGGGTATTGCTCCAAAGACGACTTTTCAAATCCTTAGGCAGATGGTTAAGAACCATTAAACACATTTGTGGTTCGCCCGATCACTTTCTAACGAGTCTCTAGCGGACGTTTGACCCCGAATATATACTCTTCGGATGTCGATGCGGGATAGTGGTGTATTAAAAGCCCAAACGAGCAATGGGTCGCCATTGGATTAGGCGACATTATTTGCAGTACACAAAACAAGTCTACTAACTTACACAAAGCAGGCATTACATACAAAATTACCATCGGTATCAATACCGTAGCCACTTACATCATCAAAGTGACTTTGCTGTCACGATAACTGGATGAGTGGAGACCAAGAGGTGGTGGGGATGTAGAAGGCCAACCAAGAACAATCGACAGCACCCACAGGGGTGCTCAAAAACAATTACTTTACTGTATGGAGCTCGCCCGCTATCAACACCGCTAACATCAAGGACACAGACTGGCCATCACCGCTACGATCAACAAGTTGCCTATAAAAACAAAAATTGACACCAATTAGCCAATTTTACATTCGTACTGTGTGTTTTATTGGTACCCTTGTAGCTCCGAGGACAAACTTAAGAAGAAGTTCGAAAGGTCAGAATAATCCTCCTTTATTTTCTGTCCTTGACTCCTCTTATTCATTCTTAATAATACACTTTTCTGATATGCATATCTTCACATCGATTCCAGGTATTTCAAAAAGCAAGTTTGGTGGTGGCGGTGGCGACAGTGTTAACGGTAGCACTGCTAAAAGCAGTGGCAACGACGACAACTGACTGTAGTAGTAATAACGGGTGCGATAGTAACAGTAGCAATAACGGCAGCAGTAGAAAGAGGTAACGCTAATAATATCGGCAATGGTTGTATAAGTTGTGGCGGTAATGGCAGGATCAGCAGTGGTAACGGTGGTGATACTAGCAGCAGAAGTAGCATAAGTTGTAGTAGCAATACCAGCAGCAATACTAATAGTAGTAACAGTTGTGCGGGGGGGGAGGGGAGTGCCATCGGTCACAAAGGAGCAGATAGTACTCATAGAATTGATCCTGGCATCTACAGTGGTTGGGGCGCGGCTAAGGCGTTAACTGCGGTGGCAGGCATGAGGCCGAGAGTCAATAATTACTTTGGATCCAGCCGAAGCAACTATGAAGAGAATGCGCGATCAGGTAGAGAGCAAAGACACGAGGATTAAATGTATGGAGGTCAGCTAGTATGATGCAAATTAAGTCCGGCGACTGTCGGGGTGTGTGTCTACAAGCATGACCCACGATGGCCATTGCCGATTACGAGAGACGAACTCAAACAAATGACCTAAACAGCTCTCTGAACTACTCTCTACTTTAATAATATGCATAGTATTGCAAGACGGCTGGCGTGCAAAGCTTGCCGAATCTGTCAGGCCACCGAAAGACCCAAAAAACCACGCGGTTCACAAGTAAGCGCAGATTCTTGCTGTACGCACGGCTGTGCTCAACTCAGGGTGCAGATGAGAACAGGCGCCCGGGATCGGCACCGTCCACGAAGTTTGGTCATAAGACCTAAGTCCGCCACCCCAAACGTCACCTACCGTGCTCGATGCAGTTTCTGGGGGGCGAACTATGCTAGAGAGGGCGCTAAGTAGTTTCAGACCTGAGAGGTTGAGCGCGCAAGGGCAGCGACAAAGACGAACCAGTCCTCATGAGTGGCGGAATATTGTGCAGTCATCTTGACACGTCTTTGCTGGCCAGAACGTCGAAACTCTGGACCTGGTGAACGATGAAACAACCGAAGAGGCACTTGAGGCCTGGCACCAACAACCGTTACGTGCCATTCCCCGCGTCCTAGCTAGTCAAACGAGTGCAAGTGAATCAGCAAAGCCGCGGACGCGGTGTCGAGGACAAACCCGGGCAGAAGAGAGCCTAGGGAGGGCGCGGACACGCGCGACCTCCTATCGGGCCTGAAAGCCTATGGCTGGCATCGCCGGCTGGAGACGGAGGCGTTGACATTAGTTTGGCAACCCCAGACCACACAATTGTGGACAGGTGCACATGACAGACAAATCTGATATGCACGAGATCAGCGCAATTGATACGCACGATGCAGACGGTAGTAATGACCATTGACAACCTGACACCGCCTCCCGCCCCCCTAGAAAGGGCACAGAGGAATTATTTGCCCGTAAGGCATAACCACCCGGGCAGTCGGAATACTTAATCGGGCAAAAACACGCTGCTCTGACGAAGAAAGATATCAAATCGGATTATTATCACAGAATGGGCATTCCAGAGGTTCCATGCGCCAACGTATGGGTACAAGAGCGAGAAGGAAAGAACTGGGTAGGCCCAATCACACGTCCAAACCAATGTGTCGGCCGGCCCTTCCTCACACTACGTGTGATTGAACTCATTGAAAGACACCTGAGGAAGCATCATATGAAGTTGGTGTACGTAAACAGACGACTACCCTACGCACTCAGCCTGTACACTCTACGGTTGATTATGAAGAGGAAAGTCATCTACGAGATCTGATGCGATGCCTGGGATTCGGTATACTGCGGTCAAACTAGCAAATCTTCCCATACGCGCATTCATTAACATCAATCGACAGTAAATAGGCAGGAACATCTGCCTCAAGTAGCCATGTATAGGCCAGATAATTGGCAGACCCTTATTTTGGACAGAAGTCGCGCTGTCGGCAACTGCCCATTCCAGAAAAACCAGGAATTCTGCGGGGCCATAGACTTCGATGACTCATGTATCACTTGGATTTGACGTAAGCAAAAAATTTCAAGGAGAGATAAAAGCGACAGCAGCCAATCGAAAGAGGATGATAGCATATGGTGGCTGGTTACTGGCACAAATATTAAATAAGTACTTATTCTAGACCCGTTTAAAAAGCTAGTTGTTTTGCACATTTGCCTCATGTCTGATGACTACCTGGGGAGGCAGCGTCGAAAATGTACTTATTTGATTTGACTTATATTTCTTGGGATACTTACAGTGCGTGAACGATCTCATAAAATGTTGGCCGAAATTCTTAAATGCGTTTTCCATTAGGAAGGATTAATTACGTAGGGTTGTAATATTGCTTACCATGCGCCATAGTCCTATAGAATTTTGAACTCGACAGGACGTCGGTTTTTTTAAATGCACTTCTGCAGAAACCACTACCGGTAAAAAATAACTACTTAAGTAGCACGCATTTTTCACATTGATTTCCAATGGTCTTATAAATTTAAATATATTTTATGGAAAACATGCACAAAAATATGCTTCCTTTTACTCGTTTGGTAAGAGATCACACTGTCTTCACATTTTATTTTTCGGTTTCAAAACGGTTTCTAATTAGAGGTCTTTAAGACCGTGCGATGTCCATACATACAGCATAGCACATGTCCATTTGCCAATGCTTCTCATGAAATGTACAACATAGTCCGCATCCATTGCAAGATTTTATGAATTCTGTATGGTATCCTCTTAAAGACATAGAGAAATATATGATTTTCCCTACGCAGAAAGCACACACCTTGCAGACTGAAATCGCTAAACGCTAATGCGACGGCTGATCTGGCTCAAAGTAATTCGGGAATTGGGAAACTTTTCCAAGACCTAAATATACACTTTATTGGGCACAAAACGTGAAATGTGATTTTCTACCAAATGAGTGAAAGAAGGTATACCTTTGTGCATTTTTTCTATAAAATGTATTTGAATTTATAAGACCATCGAAAAGCAGCGTGAAAAATGCAAACGACTTGAGTAGTCATTGCTTGCCGAGTGTAGTTTCTGCAGGAGGTCGAAAAGAAGTGCATTCAAAAGTGGACATCCTGGCGAGTCCGAAATGTTACAGGGTTATGATTCATGATGATGAATATTACAACCCCACCTAAGTAATCCTTCCTAATCGAAAACGCATTTCAGAATTTTGGCAAACATTTCACGAGATCGGTCACGCACTGTATCTTTCAGTGCATTTGTATTGGTAGAAGTGGTAGTAGCAGTAGTAGAAGAAGACGAAGGAAGAGGAAAAAGAAAAAGAAGGATGAGGAAGAAGAAGAGGAGGAAGAAGAAGAAGAAGAAGAAGGAAGAGGAGGAAGAAGGAGAAAAAGGCGAAAAAGAAGAAGAAGAAGAAGAGGAAGAAGAAGAAGAAGGAAGAGGAAGAAGAAGAAGAAGGAAGAGGAAGAAAAGAAGGAAGAAGGAGAAGAAGAGGAAGAAGGAAGAGGAAGAAAAGGAGGAGGAAGAAGATGAAGAAGAAGAAGAAGAAGAAGGAGGAAGGAGAAGGGGGAAGAGGGAGAAGAATAAGAAGAAGAGGAAGAAGAGGAGGAAGAAGATGAAGAAGAAGAAGAAGAAGAAGGAAGAGGAAGGAGAAGAAGAAGGAGAAGGGGGAAGAGGGAGAAGAATAAGAAGAAAGAAGAGGAAGAAAAGGAGGAAGGAGAGAGGAGAGAAAGATAGGAAGAAGGAGGAGGAAGAGGAAGAAGAATAAGAAGGAAGAGGAGGAAGAAGAAGAAGAAGAAGAGGAGGAAGAAGGAAGAGGAAGGAGAAGAAGAAGGAAGAGGAAGGAGAAGGGGGAAGAGGGAGAAGAAGAATAAGAAGGAACAGGAAGAAGAGGAGGAAGAAGACGAGAAGAAGAAGAAGAAGAAGAAGAAGAAGAAGAAGAAGAAGAAGAAGAAGAAGAAGAAGAAGAAGAAGAAGGAAGAGGAAGGAGAAGGGGGAAGAGGAAGAAGAATAAGAAGAGGAAGAAGAGGAGGAGGAAGGAGATGAAGAAGAAGAAGAAGAAGGAAGAGGAAGGAGAAGAAGAAGGAAGAGGAAATAGAGGGGGAAGAGGGAGAAGAATAAGAAGAAAGAAGAGGAAGAAGTGGAGGAGGAAGGAGAGAAGGGAGAAAGATAGGAAGGAGGAGGAGGAGGAGTTGCAGGCCCGCTGAGGCACCCACCTGAACAATGCTCAGAGTGGCCGAAGTGACTGGGTCCGAGAAGTCACCACCGGGCGGGGAGACAGCGCCGACAATGGTCACAGAACCTTCACGCGGCTCGGGACGACCCAGACAGCGAACTCGGCCAGCCCGCTCGTAGAAACTGAAAAAGGGAGGACAGACCACGTGCAATCAGAAAACATACTGCAGTAGCAAAGAATTCTCATGAAGTCTGGAGACCGAGGCCAACTTGACTGCAAAATGTGATTATGGCGCCAGATTTCGCTCACTTCGAGGTTAGCTTTAAATCAGGAACAAGGGCGACAGGCTACTCGTTACTGTCTACCTCCGTTCTGCGCCTTGATCTAGATGCAGGACACGTATCAGTCTACGATACTTATTTGAATTCGGCGCAGCTGTGATCATATCTGATCTAGCCGGCTTCCATGATGTTGCGGATCACACTCTCCACGCGTGGTGATCCGCGGCAATGCGCATCTGAAGAACTCGATCCGGGAAGACGGGTTACTCGTTTGTCCAGCTGCGCGTCCACGGGTGGCGAAACGGCATCCAGCGTAGGTCAGTTTCCTCACAAAACGCCTCAAAACCCTACGACGGCATTGCAAAACGGCGACCGTGAACTGCCGCTAAATAAGTTTGAATGCAACCGCTGCTTTGCAATTAGGCCCAGAGACAACCTCGAACAAGAAGTTTGAGCGACTGCTGGGGAATCACCTGTACTCAAAAGCCCTAAGAAGTCTCACGAATAAAAGACGGTTTATGATTGGCCGGCCTATTGACACATCAGCTTCAACGACACTGACTGCAGAGAATATGACTTGCCACTCCTATATGAGTAGCATGATTGTGTGCGGCGCCGACCTTTGAACTGAACTTAAGTGACACACGACAATAGCGTCCTTCGAATTATCTTTGTCAACAAAAAGGAACTTGCTCCAACACCGAATAGGCAACCGCGCACACCGTGCGAGCACCGGTGCGTCGGAAATCAGATGAAGATGATGACGACGACGTTCTCTGTCGAAACCAAGAACTGTCCCATACCCTATCAGAAATAGCTTAGTCCGGCTTTTGAACTGGAAATTGGACATGCCGGGGAGCACTAGCGCCCAAAGATTAGACTCAGCGTAAAACCGCTCGGACTAAGGAAACGTAAAGCGGCTGTGAGGGTGTGGGAAGACGATGGATCTCCGCTTTGCCGGCCGCTGGTGTGCATGACTCATGTCTCCGCCGCCGCCGCCGCCGCCGCCGCCGCCGCCGCCGCTGCCGACAGACTGTCACCCAAGCGCCTCTGACCTGACTATTTTCATCGATGGGCAGAGTACTTGAACGGCGTTTAAATTTCTTCTCCCCTTCCCCCTACTCCACGCGCCTTCCGGTCGCTCTTGCTAAATTATGCGAGCTGTAATCTCCCATGCCGAGCAGCCAGGCGATTTCCCGACGGAGATGGAGAGGAGACTGGAGTGGCTACTTCTGGCGCTGAGCCACGCGAAGCTACATTCTGTGACCGACGATGGCCAAGGTCACGTGATTGTGCGATGGCCGTCAGTATATATATATATATATATATATATATATATATTTTAACACAAATACATTCTGGTACTCAAGACTTCAGTGTTTTAGCCTTTCACTGGCTAAAGTGCCATTGTGGATTGCGATTCTTCTGAAAAACGGCCATCAACAAAAAAAAACCGGTTGAACGCAAGAAAAAAGAGGTTAAGGTCGCAGAATGCCCGGAGGACAATCCGCTCCGAGAGTTTTGCTTCCTCAAACGCAGGTCGAAAATGGAGGTCCACATGCTGAACAGGCAAGGACGTCGAACTTTAAACAAAATGACACTTTCGAAGTTCGCAAATCCGACTTCTGGCTTTCTTTCAGCTTTCAGGAAAAGTCAGACAGATTAAAAACGGCGAGAACGAGCCTATGTACGCCGCTATAAGTCGGAAACGTGGTGGAGCATCGGACTCGTAATGTGCTTTCTTAGTTGTTAGGTAGGACAGGAATGCAGTTTGATTAGAGCAATCCAAGATAAACACTGAAGTGACTTGCTTGTCAAGGTTGCTCGTAGTAACCATTCCGGCGCACGATTTCCTCAAGAGACTTACCAAAATCGCCAAACCTGGAAACGATCCAACAACCGTTCACAGTGGGCCAAAGTACTGCTTGGTAGCACCTTAGCTAGGGCTGCGGGCGTCTAAACCTGCCACCTGACGGGCCTCATGTGGTCAGGGAAGACTGCCTTACAATGACGAGCGCCAAAACGCAGTTGATGACAAAGAAAATTCAGAAAAGGACTCGGTAGACGTGCGTTTTTGACGAATTTTCCTCTAGTACAGTCAGTACGCCTATAGTAGATGTGCTAACTCATGGAACGTTAACCGAAATTCTGAGATACGTCTTCGAGTCAAAAAAGATTACTTAAGCAGGGTTATAATACTAACTACCGTTAAGTATAATCCCAAGATGATTCAGCTACTTCAGGATGTCGGCCTTTGAACGAATTTCGTTCCAGCCGCCTGTGAAAATTACACTCTGCAAAAAATGACTGCTTCAGAAGCATGATTTTTTCTCATTAATTTTCGATGCCCCTGTAAATTTGAATATTTTTTATAGAAAACAAGCATAAAAATCATTATTTTACTCATTTAGTAGCAAATTATGTCTTCTTCAAACCTTATACCTGAGGGAAGGGCATAATTCGGTTTTAAGAAACTCCAATTCCCGAATAAGTTTGAACCCGACCTGCCGTTACACTTGTATTCAGGGTTTCGAAACTACAAGCTGCGTACTTTCCGTGTACGGAAAATCATACATTACTATACGGTATAATGATGAGACTGTGTGAGGTTTGTACAATTTTGCAGTGGATTTGGGCCATATTGTAAACTTTATAAGCAATATTAGTAAATGCGACGACACGGCGTTTCAAGGACGGGCATTCTATGATCATGAAAAATCTCATAATTAGAAACTTTTTAAAACTAAATTGCAGCCTTCCTTCAAGACTTAATTTTCTACCAAATGTATGAAAGAATGAATATGTTTATGCACGTTTTCTGTGAAATATACTTGAATTTATAGGGGCATCGAAAATTAATGAGAAAAATCATGCTACTTAAGTAGTCATTTTTACATTGCAGTTTTTATAGGCGGCCGGAAAGGAGCTTATTCGGAAGTCGGCATCCCGAAGTAACTGAAATATCTTGAGGTTATGCTGCACGCTAATTAATATTACAACCTTTTCGCGCCGAAAACGCATTTCAGAATTTCGGCTAACATTTCATGAGTTTGCACATCTTCTGTATAGTATTCCACTATTCCGCGGGCACCTTCGTTTCAAGTCGGGGGGCCGGAGAAGGGTAACATAAATCCATCTGGTTGAGTGCTCAGCTTAGTCCTCGGATGTCGGCGTACCAAATAAAGGCCAGGTTAGTTGGTTCGAGGCGTCCCGAGAGAATTTAAATGTGTAGGTCACGTTGTAGGTCAGGTAGCCTCTCAAGGCGTTTACTAACGCAGGGTGATCACGCACTAAGCAGGTCCCTTGGATGTTCCTGTAATTCCTATTTTTAACACTTCAAATTTGATTAAATGTCAAGTAGTATCACCAATGGGTGCAGTACCCAGTCAGGTTGTCTTGTCGGTTTTCAAAAACCAAGGAGGCAGGAATAAGTACATTTTCAATTCTTCCGAATTCTTATTTGCATAAACCTGTCTCGGTTAATATGGAAATATCTTTGCAGAATAGACGGGCGAATGCCTTGGTGTGTTTATTCCAAATCTTCTTCTTGTTCAGCAGAAGTGAGCACATTTTAGTAGTCCAGCTTGCAGAAACTGAGAAATAAATGGATGTCTGGCGTCCCGGCAAATGCTATGCCCCATAGGAGCAGGGTCGTTTACGTCATTACTGCTGAGAAAGAGTTAATTCTGACACGCTGGTTTCTAGGACTTTTAAAAAAGCCATTAGTCCAACTAACTGTTACCGTGGGAGCAGACATAAGGATGCATCTAAGGCAGTGCTGCACATATTCAGCAGTGCTAATTAACCGAAAGGCAGGAAAGATTCGAAATAACTAGAGGACGTTCCAGGTCATTATCTAGTGCATAAGATCCAAAAACGTACCCATAGATGTGCCAACTTATGAAATGTTGACTGAAATGCGTTTTCGACCCCAAACGATAACTTAAGTAAGGTTGGCAATATTAATTACCGAACTTCTTTCAGTCGCCTGCAAAGACTACACTCTTTAAAAATGATTACATAATTAGCATGGATTTTCTCAGTGATTTTTAATGCCCTTACAAATTAAAATGTATTTCACAGAAAACGTGTATACAACTATTTATTCTTTTCCCCCTTCTAGTAGCAAACTAAGTCTTCTGTCAATTTTATACTTGACGGGAGGGTGTGAGTAAATTTTAAAAAACTTCCCCAGTTCCCGAATAATTTTGGGCTTCGCCTGCTTTTACATTTGAATTCGCGACTTCCAAAGTAGAAGTTGTATATTCTCTGTGTGCAGAAGATCATACATTCGTCTATGCCATTAGGAGGAGACTGCTGGGGGTTCCTAAAATCTAGCAGTGGATCTGAACCGTATTGTAAACTTTAGAAGCAACGTTAATAAATGCAGAAATACGATGTTTTAAGGAGGGGTCCTTCATGGTCTTAAAATGTCGTAATAAGAAACTTTTTTTGAAGCTAAATTATGACCTGCCGTCAGAAATAAACCTAGCAGAAGACGTAAATTCCCACCAAATGAATGGAAGAATTAATATTTTATCACATGTTTTCTATGAAATACATTTCAATGTATAAGGGCGTCAAAAATCAGTGAGGAAATTCATACTAGTTAAGTAGCCAATTTTTCTTACTAAGTGTAGTCTCTACGGGAGGCCGGAAAGAAATTCGTTCAAAAGCCAGTATCTCAAGGTAACTGAATTAGGTTAGATGGTAGTTGGTAGCCCTCCCGGTACCGAAAACTCCCAGCTACCTGACTTACGGGACCGGTGGTAATAGGGGCTATACGGGTGGGGTAAATGAGTGGAGGCGTAAATGGCGCTTGTAGGGAATGCCTGGAATGGACGATCCTGATAAAGTGGAAACCTAATTTAAATAAGGTGAAAAATGCGAGGAAGGTGAACACTTCGGGTCTGACTGACGTATGAGACGCATTGCTGCTGTAGTCTGAACCCAAGAGGTAGTGCGCGATGTGGTAGGTGAAGTGCGCTTAGTTCAAGCCCAGCATTGTCGAGGCGCCCGGGGGGTGTCCTAGTGCCTTAAACTGGAAGTGCAGGAAAGGATCGCTAACTGGTCATGGCGGTGTTTACAAGGCGTCACAGTTTTCAGCCAAACCCCTGCGACCAAATACAACCGGGCTGTTCGTAAAGGCGGGGGTGGAGGGCAACACTCTGTCAATACGACTAATGCAGTGGATGGAGTATCGGTAGACACCCTAACTGAGCGTCGGTTGTCCTTTCGTACACTATCGCACCGGACTCTACTGGAGGTCTGGAGTAAAAAGACCCAAGGATGCAGGCAAACCGACGAAACGGAGACCCGCGCCAATCCTCCTAGGATAGTACCTATGCAATTAATCTGATGCAGGTAATACTGTGCGCACATGCAACTAGAAGCATAATGGGAAGCATGATGAATCATAATCCGTTTAGGATAAATCTTTCGCCTTTTACTAAAGCTTTCCGCGTGGGGATGCAATACAATTAGTCTATATAGACAGTCTTGCAGCGCCTCGTTCTCGGGGCGGTTAAAGTAAAGAAGAAAGTCATCCTGACAGGGCCTCTGCGCGTGCACCCCCCAGACATAATGAGAACGTTATCACAGATACCGAAATCGAGCCAGTAGGTACAATTGTAGAATCAGTGGGCAGGGCCACCAACTACCATCCTGTCCTGAATTATTATAGAATTATGCTGCACGATGATAAGTTTTAAAACCCTACTTAAGTAATCCTTTTAAAGTCGAAAACGTATTTCAGAATTTCGGTCATTTCATGAGTTAGCACATCTACTGTAGCTGTGCGTGATCACTGTAAAAAGTGGTGAATAGTACCTTCGGTAGGACCATGGCGAGAATCTATCGAATCGCCTGCGCAATCAGCTAGTGGAACGTTTTCATTCCGAGCTAAAACAAGGACAACATCGTAAACGTTTCAGCGCAAATAATAGGTGCCAACAATGCACACGGTGAAGTTGGTTCGAGGGTGTCCGTAAAACGGACGGGATACACCGTCTACTTTGGCCAAAAGCGGCCGGCCAAGGACGATCAGGAGTAGAGAAAGATCCTGGCAGTCGACCGAAGGATTTATGCCGTCTTGCACGGAATTTCCGTCTTTAAGAAGTTTTGTGGGGTCAGTTCGGTTCTTGTCACTAAAACGTCGACTGGGTGACCAAACCAGCCGAAGCACTGCTGCTCAATTTGAAAAGCCTAAATCAGCCAAGTGAGTATCAGAGAGCTGTGAATGCAACCCAACCTGGCTAGTGACAACACGCTCATCGGCATGCCGGAAGAAAAAAAGGTAGATCGCGCAAACACACTCCAACAGAGGTCATCGAGCAGGGGTCAGAGGTGCTGTTATTATTCGGACTGGCCAACAGTCACGAGCTTGCGTGGCCTGCAGTCACGAGGACGAACACAGCTCGTAAACACGACGACAGGCCGACCGACGACGTCCACCCCGCGCTCCAAAGCAGGGTGAAAGCATGGACGGTGAGTTGGCTTAAAGCGATATCGGACTTGTGCAGCACCTATCGCACTCTCCCCCCTCCCCAACCTAGGTATGGTGTCCAGGCAGAGTCAAGAAGGCTGGAGGTGGGAGAGGGCGCAGATGGCTAGTGCGGCGAGAACCCGCACCTAGGCGCACCACCATATCCCCTGGTTCCAACGTGCAATGTTCAGGATTTTACACGACAAGAGAAAAAGGGTAGGGCGGGTTCAATTCTGGTTGGCGCGGCATGAGCATGCGGCTGGGCGCGCCAACACACCATAACTGTTTGTATTTGTTACGGGTGCGCGTTCCCCATAACGCCTGCTGGACCCCAAACTAGCCCCCCGCCCCCGTGTTGGTTTATCGCATCTACCACGTGGTCCATTTTAGGGGCATACGAAACACGAAGGCACACACAAACGTACGTGCTACGAATGAGCATAAAGTACCCGTATACATATACACAAAAACGCGAATGGGTGATAAATGCTCACTACTAAGAAAGTCCCTCGGGGAGAAATCGAAGTAGCTGTGGCTTTAATAGGAAAGCAGTCAATGAAAGACTGTGTAAATTCTCTCAAGTATAATTAGATCGAAGCCCCCACCTGCGTTACCGACCACGACAACCTCTCATAACCATCTGATACTTTGCCAGACCACATCGCCTACCCCAGTTGAGTACGTCATAGAGTGGGCTCTTAAAAGCGTTTGATACGGTGCTAACTGTGCTGATCTTGCATGTCAGACCAAGAAGATTTGGAATTCTGCCAAGGAAACGACACCCCTCGTGAGTAAAGGCTTTCAGCTTTGTTAAGTAAATCGCTTTGCATTTCACGACGTCCTGGTGTGGTGGCTGCGGAGCTGCGTCGATGTGTCCTGTTGTGGAGGCGTTGAGTGGTGTGACGGCTTACCTCACCCCCTTTCACCCCATCTTATCCACTTGGAATGCCACCAGTGAAAGCTATGAACGGCCGGACCAGCCACGGCTTGTGCGTCAGCTGTGGCTACGAGCAGTCTTCAACTGTCTGACACGGCCGCGGCGGTGGCGTCTAGAAGTCAAGTACAAGCCAAGCCCCTTGTGCACGAACCACCCGTATCTGCTTTTGTCTCTGATGATGGGTTCGAGCAGGAATCCGAAACGTCAGGCTAATAAAGCTCTTGTCCCAGCGATCGTGTCTCCCTATTTAAGAAGTCAAGTACGCCAGTGAGATTTCGATGGGGCATCCCACCAAAGGTGTTCATCATGTCCACGTACTTAGACCATGTTTCAGCACGGTAATGGAGAGATAGTCTATTGCTGAATAACCAAAAGTCTGTTCAGCCTGTTTACACTGGGTGGGACTGCGCAGAAGCTATTTGGAATCCTTCCTAGGCAGGCTTTGACTGCTGGCTTCTGTTTAATAAGGTTCGTCAACTGACAGTTCGGCCGTCAAATCCGACGATTTCCACCGTGGGCTCCACAGCAAGGTGAAGCAGGCACGGTGACTTGCGCGTGAATTAGTTTAGAGTGAATAAAAATTTCCGCAGCATCTACCACACTCTCTCCCCCTTCCCCGGTATCAAGGCCGAGTCAAGAAGACCGGAGGCGGGGGGAAGGGCGCAGGTGGATGGCGCGGCCGAGCCCGCACCTTGGCGCTCCACTCCACATCCCCTGGTCCATACAACACTTGACCAGGATTTAAACCAACAACACCACGAGGGGTCATAACGAGGATGATGGCTGGGCAGTCAAGCACGCATGCGGGAGCGCATGCGCATCTACCGACAGGGAACCAGGTGTCAGAGAACGGTCAGCGCATAACAGGCTGAAAGTGCCATGGTCTGCTGATCCTAGCATAGCGGACGCTTACGGACATTCGGCATCTGCGTTCCCCTCTGACTCCGCACAGCTTGAGTCGTCTTTTTCATTTTCGGTCAAGCGGTTCTCTGGCTAACTTCCGCAGGACGAGTTGGCGGAGGCGAAACTTTCTTTTCGAGCATGGTGCGAATTCCCCTATATCACCCCGTGATCTTCGGTGTAGCGAAATCGCATAATCCACATTCACCAATGCCCGTCAAAAGTGCGCTCAAACTTACCTAAAAGGTTTTAAATGCACAATCTGTTTGCACCAATGTTAATTACGACATAGATTTTGAACTTTTCTCCCTGGAGCACAGGCTTGTGAAAGTATTCCCATTGAGAAAGTCAAGTAACTCAGAGTGAGGATAATGGTGGTGCTGGTGCCAGTGGTGGTGGTGGTTGTGATGGTGATGGTGGTGAAGTGACGATTTTGTCCCTAAAACGAACCACGCGACAGATGCGCTGGACCAACATGAGGGCTACACCAGAATACGGCAGGCGTTATTGAGAGTGCTAACGCATAGCAAGTGCTGGCATAATGGATGCAATGACACGCCGAGGTGCAGGCTCATGCCGCGCCAATTGGGATCTCTGTCACCTCCTGGTCAATGTGTATTGTGGACCATGGGTGTGGTGGTACGACTAAGTGCGCCACCTGCGCTGTCTCCCGCCTCCGGTCTTCTTGACACTGGACCCAGGTGAGGGAGAGTGCGGTAGAAGCTGCGCAAGTCTACCACTATTATAATCTAGTGAGCCACCGTCTCCGCTGTCACTTTGCCATGGAGCACACAGTGGACATCGTCGGAAACGACGGTCAAACTGCCAGTGGGGACAATGACGATGACTGTGGACATGCCAAGGGCGGTTGGCAAGGCAACACCAAAGTGAAGGCGAGGCTGAATGAGACTCACCTAGCTAGACGCGCAGCGAGGTAGGCCGGATAGCCGGAGTCGGCAGGCATTTCAGCCAGACGACCGGAGATCTCACGCAAGGCCTCAGCCCATCGACTGGTAGAGTCAGCCATCATGGCCACATTGTAGCCCATGTCACGGAAGTACTCGGACAGGGTGATGCCCGTGTAGATGGAGGCCTCGCGTGCAGCCACGGGCATGTTGGAGGTGTTGGCAACCAGAGCCGTGCGTTTCATGATGCTCTCCTGCTTTCCGTTCACCTCCACCGTCAACTAATTTAGGAAAAAAAAGAATGTTTTAAGAGGGCGTTAAAAACTGGAAAATGCGTACACGGAGGCTTTAGAATGCGAAGGGTCCCGCAACCAGCAGTTAGGAAAATGGAATGCGTCTGCGACCAAGGTAAAACGACCGAGGTGGACGACAGGGCTTCTGAGCTGGGCCCTGATGTAGTGCTTGGACCGCAGATGGACGACGATCGGGAGGACAGTCTTAGGGGTTGACAGTTCAACAGTTGATTTTGACGATGCCCACCTCGCGCACCACAGCACGGTGAGAACAGGGACAGTGACTTGTGCGTGAATTAGTTTATAGTTATAGTAGACCGGCACAGAATCAACCACACTTTCCACTTCCTCTCCCACCTGGGCCCGGAGTCAAGGCATAGTCAAGAAGACCGTAGGTGGATGACACGGCAGGAGCTGCTCCTAGGCGTGCAATCACACCTGGCTCGGATCCTACGGAATGGGAGCGCCATAGATGCCACTGAAGCCTGACCCTCAGTCCGTCAGCACCGTCACTCCACACCAACACAGACCGGACTGACTGAGAGGTCTACATTGAATCGTCCGTTGGCAACCTTCAAAGCCACGGCTTTCAGCGCACTGTGATAGCTTCAAGCGCGTCAGATTGTCGGTGGTGAGGAAAGCGCGCTGAGTCGTCGAACTCACTCTCCCTTCCCATTCTCAGGCCTCAGCTACTGCTGGTTTCAGGGACTAATTTTTGGTCGGCGATACTAGTAGAAAGCGGCGTCAGTGGATGAAGATGTCACAGGGGCTGCGCTGAGCCCTACATCAGTTATGACCCGCGTTAGGGTCAGACAGCGTGGGAGCAGGTGATTTGCCCATTGTTGAGTGAACTGGATAGTAGGATTTTCGAAATGATGCACTTTCCAGTCGGGCAGGCGAAGATGAGAGCATCCTATGGGTACGTGGAAGGCTCAGGTGGTTGTGGTTAAGAATTTAAAGACGGCATTTGTGGTTGCGATGATGACTATGATGGTAGTGATGATGAGGAAAATAGTGGTGGTAATAGCAGTATTAGTAGTAGTAGTAGTAGTAGTAGTAGTAATAGTAGTAGTAGTAGTAGTAGTAGTAGTAGTAGTAGTAGTAGTAGTAGTAGTAGTAGTAGTAGTAGTAATAGTAGTAGCAGTGGTAGTAGTAGGTGGTAACAGCAATAGCACATAGTAGTAATGACGGTGGCAATGATAATAGTGAAAAATTAAAGAGTATAATACGGCAACTGAGGCGAAATGGCCGCGCCAGATTAGACTGACAGTCGTCAAAATTTTTTTTCTCAGTAACAGATGATAGTTAATTTGTAAGTGACGAGGACCACTGCCTTGCAGTTGTGACTTGCGAGTAAATTAGGGTTTGGCGTGCGACACTTTCGAGCCCTCTTTCCACGCTAGTCACAATTGGATGAGAAGACAAAGTCAAGACAACTGAGGAGGTCCGTGGAAGTAGTGACTGTCGTGGCGAAATTCACGTCTACGCGGGCCACGCACATGCTGACCCACCACACACAAAGTTGACTTTAAAATTAGGTCTCAGAGAACGGCTATGAGGACCCTCACACTGAAGGTGAGAAGAGTTGGCTCGTCAGGCGTTAAGTCACCACATGGCGACTTTTGGCGCGCCTTCACGCGACGGGAGAAGTTACCAGTCGTGTTGTGGATGACGTTGTATGTGTCTTTTGGCAATCACTTTAACTGCTATCAGGGGGGAGACCTCGCCTCTGGGGGACGCTAATTCTCTCTAAACGGATATTTAAGGTCATTGTTAAGAGCAGATTGTTGATTTCTGTGCCCTGCCTGTTTATTTTAATCCACAGTTACTTGGCGTACAGTGGGTGACGTATCTCATTAAACCTTAACTAAAATTCTGACGTCAGTTATAAAGAACTACTTGGGCGGAGTTGTAAAATTGCTTATCATGTAGCATAATTCCGAGGTATTTCAGTCACGCCAGGGTGTTGATTTTTGAAAGTTGGCTTTCCTGTCGCCTGTGAAAATTACACTTATTAAAAAACGAACGACAACTTGCAAGGTATGCTCTTTTCGCTGATTTTCGACGTCCTTATGAATTCAAACATATTTTGTAGAAGTCATGAACAAAAATATCGAAGTTTGCACGCATTTTGCGGTGAACTACGTCTTTTTCAGATTTTTTGCCCAAAGAGGCGGTATCCTTAAGTTTTAAAAAGTTTGCAATCAAGAGACTTATAAAGACTGTGAAATGTCTACTAAAATAGCATTGCGTCTGCGCGCTTATTAATGCTTCATGTAAGATGTATGAAGTTCGTATTCAATGCGATACTTGTATGAACCGTGTGTGGTACCCCCTCAATAGTATAAAATGTATGATTTTCTTAAATGGTCTGAAAACCTTAAACGCAGGTGGAATTCAAGATTATCCAGGAAATAAAAAGTCTTGGAACAAAAAAACACTCCTCAAGAATACATTTTGTTGGAGACGTGATTAACTGCAAAATGAGTATAAGAAGGGATATTTTTCGTACATGCCTTTTTAAAAACAGAGTTGGGTATAGAAGGGCATCGAAAATCAATACAGGGAGTCAATACTTTATAAGTATTCATTATTAGCGGGGGTGTGACTTGAACAGAGGGACAAAAAGACGTGTTGTAGGGGTGGGATGGGGGGGGGGCGCACTGATCGCGCTATGGAACTCACTCGTCCCGTTGTGTGCCTTGGAGCTTTCTCCCTCTCGAGCCCCGCCAACATCCGCACAGCGGCGCATAATATAGGTAGAATAGTATTACCGACAAAGACCACGGAGACCGCCTTGTCGGTAATACTACTCTACCTATATTAGGCTCCTCTGTGCGGCTGCTGGTAGAGCTCAGGGGGCCCAAAGGCGCAACGGGAAAGTAATAAAGGCAGAATGGCATTATCGACATAGACAAGAGAGACTGGAACGCAATCGGTGAGCGCCTCTCTACAGTGGTTCATATACCCCATCGCAACCGACGGGGCAACGAGCCCCTGACTCAATGGCTAGGGCGTTGGACTTTTAACCAACGGGTTGCGAGTTGCATACCTCGGGGCTGGCCAATGACGGCGGACAGGCCAGAAATGGCCAATCCAGTCTCCCCTGTCCTTGTCGATAATGCTATTCTGCCTAGAAAGGCATGTGTTCAAAAGGTTGGCACCCTGGCATGACTAAAATATCGTGGGATGATGCTTCATGGGAATCAATAATACAACCCCACCTAAGTAATCCTACCTGATCGAGACCATATTTCAAAAGTTGATTCATGAGATACGTCATCTACTGTGCACAACGCTCACAAATTAAAATTTAACCTCCTAAAGTCTACATGGTCTACGAGTGAACATATGCGCAGTATGGACTTGAACACAAACGGCCGCACGAGCGACGGACGGGCAGAAACCGACACTTTGTGACACCGATCGATGCTGTACGGGATAGAATAGAACAGTACGTAGAATACCGAGTAATCAACGTACCTCCGGGAAATCACGCAGAACCTCAGACATCTCGTTGCCACGTTCCCCGCATCCCACGTAAATGATTACATCGGAGTTGGAGTACTTGGAGAGTGACTGAGAGATGACTGTCTTGCCGCAACCAAACGCTCCAGGAATGGCTGTAGTACCGCCTTGGACACACCTAAAACAGAGAGGGTTGATCTCAGTTGCCTACCAAGAGATCAAAAAGGTGGATGGACGCTCAGAACAGAGGACCTAGGATCGGGTTAAATTATGACGGATCGAGCTGAGCAGGTCCGACAGGATGGGGAGTTGATGAACTCTTAAGAGGACGTAATTCGCTACTAAATGGGTAACAGAAGGAATATTATTATGCATGTTTTCTATAAAATATATTCACAAGGGCATAGAAAATCAATGCGGGAAATTCGTGCTACTTAAGCAGTCGTTTTTTTACGGAATGCAGTTTATGCAGACGGTCGACAAGTGGCTCATTCGGAAGCCGACACCCTAAAGTTGGTGTAATACGACACGGTAATTGATATGACAGCCCTACTTGAGTAATCTTTTCAGATTGAAAATGCATTTCAGAATTCCGGTTAACATTTCTTGAGGTAGCACATCTACTGTACGTCAGGTAGTCGGTCTCGACAGCTGTTTTAAAACATTGTTATCGGCATCCTTCCATGGTCACTTACTATTTAAAAAACCCATTTCCGCATCCTTTGTTTGCTGTCTGTCTGCCCCCAGTTTTCTCTACCCACCAACAGTACAGAGACTCAGTTACTCGCTTGACGGACACTTCCGGACGAAAGACTTCCCTTCTATTCTGGTCTAATGGCCATATGATCGGTCTAACGCAATTTACGCGTATTGGAAGTAGACAGAAGTTTTGTTACCTTTACGGCCTGAAAAGTAGCATCGAAAAGGTGTAAATAAAAATTGCCGCTGTGCATGTCCAGTACCCGGTGTCTGTCTCTCTCTGACGACCGACGGATTTCCGACCTTGTCGTTTGCACTACCGTAGGCATATGCTCACTCGGGCATTACCGATTAAGACAAGGGAGACTGACCAGAGTGAACTCATTTGTTCCGTTGTGCCTTACGGGCTCTCTCTCGAGCCCAACCAGCTGCCGCATAGCGGCGCATGATATAGGCAGAACGGCGTTGCCGACTAAGACAAGGGAGATTGAAATGGCCATTTCTGGCTTATTAGCCGTCGTCGTTGCGCATACTAGTACCTGATACCGCTGTGATCATCCCCGAACTAGCCGGTCTCGATAATGTCACCGCCTGCATATTCCTCGGCATGACGAACGGCGGAATCGAGTCTGAGTAACTTCCCTTACCCCCTTTCCAGCGGCCAAAAGGGACTTCCGATGTGTTCAGGGTTACCTGCGTGTTTTGAAAATCAGATCGGAAGCTAGGCGACAGCGTCAACGATGAATGCGGTAGTAAGATGTAGTTATGTAGCCCCAACTGAACGATGCAATACTGTTTGGGTTGGGGTTCGGATTATGTGTTAGAACTAGGGGTTGTGGTTAACGGTCAAGTTTAGGAGTTAGGGTAACTATTTCTCAGCCACTCAAAGTACAACCGCCAATTCCCACTAGCTTTTGTTTTGCATACAACTGCTTGACCTCGTCGCCTGTGCGTTCCCCGGCCCCACTTGTAAAAACTCCTACTGCCACCGGTCCCGTATTACGGTTGGCTGGGGATTGTTTACTTCAGGTGGGGTTATATAACCACATCTGACCAATTCGACTATAGCATCTTAGTCATCTTTCTTGGATGGCCTTCCTGCAACGAGTGCGGACTATTACGTTCAGGGTAAATTCGATGTACTCCATTCTAAGGATGGTTCTCAGGCAACTGCATCCAAATATCCCCAGTTTTCGCCCATCTTTCATGCACAGCTCAACAGATATACGGTACACGCGAATCTTTGTGGCGATGGAGATTTCACGTCAGATTCACAGACATTCCAAGAATTTTGAAAACCGCATGAGCAGCATCCATTCGTGAGACGATGTCGTCCTCACTCTGTCTATACAGCGACAGCCTCGCCCTGAGGAATATGAAGCCGCCTACTTTTCAAGTTGGCAGCCATTAAATCCTGGAGGTATCCTCGCCTGGCCAGTGATGTAACTCGAGAGCACTGATTTAGCCACCATATTCATCCGCAACAGCACATTCTACAGGTCATTAGAGCTCGACGCCAGCAGGGTGACAATGTTGACGCAGTCAAGGTCAGTCGGTCGGTCGGCTTTCGGGTGCAAATTCAACACCGCCTCTCAGAGAATCCGACCAATGGCACAGTTTCACAGAAGGAGCAACATAATACAACCTTGTCGAACGTCAGAGTGAATATCGAATGGTTTGGATGCATCTCTGTTGATCAGAGCTCGCGCAGAAGGCAAACCATTGTAGGCCTTGGTTATGGCGATGGCTTTTTTTTTACGGACACGCCATCTAACTCCATTGTCCGCGACAGGGACTCGCGGCGGCGGGAATCGAACGTCCCGGTGAAATAAACAAAGCGGACGGGTGGTCGTCAGTCGCTCACAGTGTGAATACCTGATAGGCGCACCCATGTTCAGTTCAGAACCCGGTTCGGTTGGATCTCGTATTCGAGTCGGGCACATTTTAAGGCTGCCCGAGAACGACGATGACAAAAAGCGTTGTTGTGGTGAGTCTCACATTTCTCTTACTTCCTCTCTTGAGGACGGATACAAGGATGACAGATCTCCAGTCATTAGGAATTATGTCATCGTTCTGCGCTTGTTTAGTCCTCTCATGTATCTAGGCGCCACTGCGTCGACACGAAACTCGTCCACTATGGGCGCCTTTGTGTTGATTCCCTCGTGGAAAGGAGGGACGAAGTATGGAGAAGGATGCAAATCAGCTCTGCAGGACACGTTGGTCGAGAAGACGAGCTCACGCCAGTGCCCGAACTGTCCGCAAGTGAATCGCTGTTCATGTCACGAACGGAGTCATTGGGGGCCGGACAGTTACACCAACCCGGCTAGCAGACGTTTGAGACTTGCTCTATAGGAGTCATAGCTTTGAACTAATACTTCTCCCGGTCATCTCTTGTTAACGTTTTCGGATCATTGTAATGGGACCTGCCCCCCGATTTAGTGTACTGAGCTTTGTCTGGGCTGGAAAAATTTTACGAGGTCAAGGCAGCATTCACGAGGCATTTTGGGCGCGACTGAGAGATGAACATTCAGATGCGTGCGTTTGTATGCGCGCCCCCCAAACGGACCACGTGGTAGACGTGCTGGACCAAAACGGGGGATTCTGGCAGGCGTTGTCGAACTGCACAAATGCCAACAGTTCAGAATGGGGTGGCAGACCCGGTTTCCGGCGTAAGTTGCGTCCCCCCCCCCCTTGTTGTTGTTCGTCAAAAACCTGGTCATTTGCTGTGTGGACCAGGGGTGTGGAATTGAACGCCAAGATGCGGACTCGACCGTGCCAGCCACCAGTATTCTCCCCCGCTTCCGGTCTTCTTGACTCCGAGTCCAGGTGGGAGAGGAGGAGGAGGGAGTGCGATAGATACTGCGCAAGTCTACCATCACTGAATGCCCTCGGATAGCCATTTTGCACAAACTGGTCGCGGAGATAGCGGGCCCCACGTCCTCTGTCCTCCGGTTTGCTGCAATGAGTTTGGATCCGTTTGAAGAGCGTCTTCACACAGCTTCGTTTGTGAGCCACCGGATGGTTACTGTGAAAACTGAGAAGCTGTGTGGTGTTCGTTGCCTTCCTATAAACCGTCGGTTTGACCAGTTTTGGCAACATGCATCCAACTACAAAGCTGGTTGGCTGCAGGATCATCGTTTGAATGCCAGACCATCACATTTTTACAGCGATGTCGGAAGCGCGTGTTCTGACAAAAGGTCAGTTTTCCGGCCAGCGGTGTTCAGTAACCTATCACTACTATCACATCGAGAACAAAGTTCACAGCGACCTATGAGATGACCGTTTGAGGAATCGATTGATGCAGTTTACTTGTTCCAATTACTAGCCACAATCAGCAGATCACGGCAAGTGAGTCTTTTGGCGCGCGTGGATGGAGGGTTAGCCATGCTGGTCGGCTGTTGATGTCGGCGCGTAGGTAAAAACGACAAACGTGTTAGTAGAGCGCCTTCGAAGCCATACGCAAGCTGGCCTGACATTGACTGGTCCCGTCGATGGGGTGAGTTCCTGGATGCTGGCGGCGCATGGTTCACCTGTTCCGAGTGTGTGAGAGAGAGTATGTTAGCGAGGTCAGGTGGGATGCTTTTGACTCCCGGCACCTGAGAACGAGATCCGAACTTCTCAAACGAGCAACAGATATCTATGTTGAAGACCACATAAAGTCAGAAGTTGGGTAGAGGACGGTTCGCGCATTCTGCACCCAAGACTAAAAGCTCAGTTTCAATTGAGTAGTCCATTTCAAACACTATTTGCTCACGCAGTTGGATCTGGGCTGTTGAGCGCCTTCGTTTCTGCAGACGCCCCAGCATGGATCGTATTACAGTGTTCGAACATTTTTTATAAGATACTTTGGCAAAGGCTGGACCCCAAAAGTTTCTCGGAGGGCTTTTTGGAACTGTTGCCTCCGGCGCCTCGGTGCAGGAACCGTGGCAGGCGCACTTCTTTGACGACGGTTCACGGTGACCGTGTCAGATTCGCGTGTACCGTGCATCTGACCGGTCTGTCCTTCTCTACGGTTGTGATTGCTGGGCTTTGCGCGTGGAGGACGAACGAAAACTGGAGGTATTTGACCACCACTGCTTGAGGACCATCCTTCACCGACTTTGTTTCAAATGAGATAGTTCGCGCTCGCTGCGACAACATTGCAAGGATAACTCAGGCCATCCAAGAAATACGACTGAGGTGGTTCGGGCATGATCTTCGTCGTCCACCTCAGGGGCTTTGTGTTACTGCCCTCGATCTGGCACCGTTGCCCCATTGGAAGCGTCGAAGAGGGGGTCAGTTCAAAACCTAGCTCGACACAGTTCGTCAAGACATGCAGGTGGTCCGTGGACCTTCGGTATTCGGTCTACGTCGTTGGCGAAGGGAATGGGCTGGGCTGTCCAGATCTGCTGTCGCGGATCGTCACGCGTGCAGAGGTACAGTTCGTGACATCATCGAGGCCGGCTAGATCAGGCAAGATCGAAGCCGTATCAAGAACAAGTGCAAAGTACCGTGTCAGAGTGCCATCGCCTGGCTTACTGCTACTTTATGAGACAGTCAAAATTTGAAGCATTTTGTCCCCGGTACGAAGCTGAAGTAGGCAAGAACGGCAGGATTTATTGGTACCAAAAAATTTCGCGACTGCTCTTCAGCTGCTTCCTGTCACTTCATAAGAGAGATAACGAGTGAGAACAATACAACAGATTTGAATTCGTGCAGAAAATCGATGCAGAAACAGCAAGGTTAGGGTTTTGGGCAAAGTTGGCTAATCGATAAAGTTAGTAACACAAACGCCGTAGGGGAAGAAAGTGAAAAAAGGGGAAACGTTAAAGAGCAAAAAAATGAGGAGAGGGGGAATCATGGAGCTAGAGGCTACCATGGCAATGTTAGGTTAACCACGTGCTCCAATTGTTTACAAAGATCTGGTTTCACTCATCGTATATAGGCTGCCTCCAGGTAACGTAATGTCCGAGTTGTTCGTGCCCGAACAAGTACTCGGAAGGAAGTTTTGGGGTCGACGGTGTGACCAGTATCAAGTAGGTGTTTCGTAATGGATGAACGCGGGATCTTATTTTCTTGTCTTAGGAGCCACTTGGGCAGGTGCTCAATGGATCTGGCTGCCAACTGCCTTTGCGTTCGCCCAATGTACTTGCATCCGCAAGTGCATGTGAATTCATAAACACAATTTGACGTGGCGTGCATTGGCAGGGCATCCTTTGCCCGTAGAATCGGAAGTGGCTTAGTAGGACTGCAGAATACTAGTCACACCGTCGACCCCAAAACTTCCTTCCGAGTACTTGTTAGGGCACGAACAACTCGGACATTGCGTTACCTGGAGGCAGCCTATATACGACGAGTGAAACCAGATCTTTGTAAACAATTGGAGCACGTGGTTAACCTAACATTGCCATGGTAGTCTCTAGCTCCATGATTCCCCCTCTCCTCATTTTTTTGCTCTTTAACGTTTCCCCTTTTTTCACTTTCTTCCCCTACGGCGTTTGTGTTACTAACTTTATCGATTAGCCAACTTTGCCCAAAACCCTAACCTTGCTGTTTCTGCATCGATTTTCTGCACGAATTCAAATCTGTTGTATTGTTCTCACTCGTTATCTCTCTTATGAAGCGACAGGAAGCAGCTGAAGAGCAGTCAAAATGCCAAACCGCAGCCCTCTACGTACTGGCAGCAGTGTTTATGTTGATCACAACTGATGCTAATTTGTCAGACGCGACAGCCTGCTTATTTCGCAACCAGCCTCTGCTGAAGGCCGTTCGACCATCCGTCAGTCGTGGAAGCGCCGGACGAGCAAGCTCACTCCCTGAAAAGCGCTACTATTACCAAAAACGATATTTTTGGCCCCCAGTTGGGATCTTCAGGCAGACAGGCCTGAAAAGGTTCGGAGTCCGGGCGTAGGATCTCTATTTAGCGAGCACAAGTCAGCCGCCCCACAACTGATAGACGGACTCGCGCCCTGATTGGACGCTAATGAAAATATTAAAAACCGCGGGGGAGTCTCGTATGACAATACGTCCATATATGGTAGGAGGGAATGATACGAGTGAGTACTGATTGCTTGTCGTAATCAGGAAACGTCGGTGAGTGTCAATGTCAATCTTAGGGGACTTCAAACATTCACGGAGGGAGAGATGGTGGCAGACAGCGTCAGCAAAAAGGGGGGCTCCGCTGGAGTTACAAAATAAACGGCAAGGCGCATGCACTCACGGGAAGAGGGCATCGAGGATGCGTTGACCGGTGAGGAGAGGGTTATTAGCGGGCAGCTTCTCCGCAACCGGACGTGGAGTTCGGACAGGCCAGACTTGCAGCATCGAGTGCTCCGTCACTTCGCCGTCGAACTCTGTCTCCAGGACTTTGTCCTACAGAGTAAAGCGGGAGGGTCGTAAGGTTCTTCCTCCACACATACAGCAAGTGGGCTAAGTCATGAAATGTCAACTGAAATTCCGAAATGCGTTAATTAAGTGGGGTTGTAAAACTAAGCAGTCTGCAGTATAATTCTATAATAATTCAGTTACCCCAGGATGCCGGCTTTCGAAAGACCTTCATTCCGGCTGCATGCATAAACTATACTCTGTAAAAAATGACTACTTAAGTAGCATGCGTTTTTCTCATTGATTTTCAATTCCCTTAAAAATTCAATTATATTGCACGGAAGACATGCATAAAAATATCCATTTTCCACTCATTCGGTTGAAAATTAAGTCTTCTTCCAATTTTATACTCGATGGAGGGATATAATTCAGTTTTAAAAAACTTTTCCAATTCCCGAATAATTTTGAACCCGCTCTGCCGTCACGCTTGGATCCCGGGTTTCCAAACTACAAGGCATGCATTTTCGGCGAACGGAAAACTACACATTAAGAGGAGACCATATATGGTTCATAAAATTTAGCATTCGATTTGATCCATATTGTTTACTTTACATGCCACATTGGTAAATGTAGAGACATGACGTTTTATGAACGGCCATTTCACAGCATTAAAAAGTCTCACAATTAAAACCGAATTATGTCCCTCCTTCGAGCATAAAATTAAAAGATGTAATTTTCTGCCGAATGAGTAAAGGGATACATATTTTTGTGCATTTTTTCCAGGAAATATAATTGGACTTTTAGGGACATCGAAAATCAATGAGAAAAATTCATGCTACTTAAGTTGTGATTTATTTACAGAGTATAGTTTTTGCATGCAGCCGGAAGAAAGTTCGTTCGAAAGCCGGCATCCTGAGGTAACTGGATCATTATAGAATTATGCTGTACGATGATTGGTTTTGCAACCCTACTTAATTAATCTTTTCGAGGCGAAAACGCATTTCGGAATTTCAGTTGACATTTCATGTGTTAGCCCACCTACTGTACATAAAATTAAACTGTAGAGTGACGTAGATTTCACTGCGTAAGGTGGGACGAGCACTTGACAAAACGGGGGACAAGGATCGCGGAGGGGGGGGGGCAGGAGGAAGGAGTGTGTAGAGAGAGAGAGAGAGTGGGACAAAAGAGCAAGTCGAGGTGTGAGAAGCTCACCAAGATGGTGTAGTTCCCGGGCGGGGCAATCCATCGGATGGTACCCTGGTCCTTCGGAGACAGCATAAGCTTGTGCTGCACCAGACTGTTCTCATTCACCGTGCCGTAGATATCGCCACCGGTGATATGCATGCCAACACGCAGGTTTGGCATGGGGTCAAACTCCCAGGCAATCTTTCGGTTCAACGACGGCGCACTAACGCCTTTTGGAATGTATATGGAGTCGGTGAACGCGCGAATGTCCTGCAGCGGCCGCTGAATACCTGCGCAACGAGTGGAGAGAGGAGAGGAGATATATATAAGAACACGACCCTATGGCTTAAGACCGGCTGCTGCTATAGACGAGGAGGTAAAAAGAGCATAAGGACACGCTGAGAAGTCTCGATATCAGCAGGCATGGAGATCAGTCGCGACGCAAGAGTTAAAAGCTACGAAGCCAACCAGATAAAGGAAGCTAGGCAACGACAAAAAGGCCTTAAGTGACCGAATTCTCCGTATGTTTTGAACATTCATGGTGAAGGTTCGGACTGGCCTCGTTGAACATCTCCACATAAACCGTCAAAACATTAAGGAAAATTATGGAAGACTACACACCTGCGCAAACTGTCTCTGAACGTTGCAGGGCGGACAAATTACAACCATGAACACAAACACCTTGGAGAGGATTGTGAGGACAGCGGTTGAATATTTCTCACGAATTTTATTGCCAAAGCATGTTCCGAACCACCATATTCCACCGGATTGTACTACACAAAAAAATTTCAGTGCACTAACACTCCAACCATAGCCCTAATGGGCTGAACGGCCACTGTTGAAAAAGATGAATTGCCAAAGGTGTGTGTGTGTGCGTTGGGTCATCGAAATAGATGGCGTTGTTGAGTCAGATTTGACAGAGCGACGTTTCCCATCGCGTGCCCCAAGGAATGAGCGCATAAATTAGTTTTTAATGAGGCGAACTTCCTTAACATCTCCCGCGCGTTCTCTCCTCTCACTCAACTAGCCGGGAGTGGCCGTCTACCCGTGCCACGCACGTCCTGAACGACTCGGGCCTCGTGTGTATGGGTGCTGGAAGGTCACATTGAAAAAAACTGCAACAGCCTGACCCTCAGTCCTCCAGTTATGAGGAATGAGTTATCTACTTAGATACCAACCACTCAAACCATGACTCTTAGCGGATTACTGTAGATTCGAGCGCGCCAGGCCTACTGTAGTGGAGAAACTTCTTATGTTTCGTGTGGATGAAGTCCCCAATGCCGGCTGTCATGAGGTTTGGCTCACGAGAGCAATAATGAGCAGGAATTTGCAAGGAAATAAAACGTAGAAGTTACAATCACTTTAGTAGAAGGTCGTTTTGACGTGTCTTTATTTACGAAATAAGTCACGTCTACTCAGCACTTCGACTCTTCATGTGAGGATCATTCACGAGACGAACCAGATTCCTCTGGGATGACTCTGTAGTTCCGCCCCGAACTTCTAAACTGTTATCTGTTCCTCGAAATAAATCATGCAACAACAGACCCCCGAACCAACAAGTAGACCGCTGTCCAGCGGCGACTAAAAGACATGGGATGGATGACACCCGTCAACAAAGAAGAAGGAAGGTCGGGATCATCAGAGTTGGGTTACTCATGATGAAGACCCCGAATGCTCTCAAGTACTCGCCAGCCCAACTTCACAAGTCTCAATAACTTAAGAATAATTAAGTCCGCCGCGAATAATCGGCTTCGTTGACTGACCGTCCCCCATGGACATGGCAAACCATAAAAGCCAAGACTAAAACAAGGGGAAGTCAGATCTGGCTTACCGTCAAAAATACTGTCTAGAATACCCGGACCCAACTCGACGGAGAGCGGTTTGCCAGTTTTTTGTACAGGATCACCCACAGTCACGCCAGCTATTGGGAAGAAGAGTTAGGGAAAATAAGACATCACTCGGGGTGGCCTATCTTAGAGGGCACGTCGGCGAACCTGGAGAAGATGGCATCGTGAAATGGCAGATAAAGAGACCAAAAGCATCCGGAGTCTAAGTGACATCAAGCGCATGAGAAAAAAGATTATGGCTTGCATCGATGCAAAAAATGGCAAAAAGGATACACGTATCTTCGTAGACCTGGATCGTTGCAGTGTCTCCCTCCAATCGAATAATCTCGCCAACCAAGTTGTCGTGTCCGACACGGACCAGTTCGTACATGGCTGAACCTGCCATCCTCTCAGCAGTCACAACTATGAATGGAGGAAAATGGCAAACAGATCTCAGAAAACTGTGAAGGAAATGCGTCAGTACGTACAGGTAAGGATAAACCTACCTGGACCAGACACGGAAAAAACACTCCCGTAACTGCTTTCGCGATCTCCATCGATTCTAAGTTCGCGGAATTGTCGGTCCATTGCTAAAATAAAGTAATTCATATCGTTAATTAGTATCACTAACCCGATCAGCATTGTCGATCAAAAGGTATTACTAATTCTAAGAAGCTCGATGCTAGCGTATGAACCTCACCACTACTCAAATAGCAGCGTTAAAATCTATGAAATTCGGTGCGTGTCTGTTTGGGCCCTCTTGGCAAACGTCTGTCCATAATCTAGACTGACGATTTTGATGGAGAAAACAAACAGAATTGATGCATTTAGTTGGCGCGCACAGGCGTGCTAGCCATGAGCATTCAGCCGAAAGTAAGGAGCTTATGGGGTAGATTGCAGATCTCACCAATCGTCTTTGACAACATCCCTTGTCTCTGTTTGTCCACCTAATGAACCAATTACATCATTTTACACCGAAAGTGCTTATTGCCTCTGTACACTTCTACTCCGCACGCGAAATAAAGCGTTTCTGATCACATTCAGAAACGAAATTAATTTAATTTACGGAACGAGGTACGTTGCACTATCAAAGAAAGTGTTTTCTGGACGGCTAGACTGCATGGGATATGACAAATCTTTTTTGACAGCAGTATAAGGGTCGAGAAAAAAAAATTTTCGTCCACAAAAAAGGACACTGGTGGTGATAGAAAGCGTTCTTGCGTGATCTAACAGTCTTCATGAGTTTGTTAAATAAAGAATTAGGGAAGAAGAGGTGACAGGCTTTGCTTCTAGTTGTGCTGTGAGGGTTGTAGAGAAACTAAAACCGAGCTTGTCCAAATGTAAGGCGGTCTAGACTGCACAATTGTCGATTTGGCGTCAACTAAAACAACTTATGGTTTTTTTCTAAAAATATCGAAACAGTATTGCTGTTCCAAAAGTCTTTATGCGCGCAGTGATGTTATTTTGATAGTATCTCTGCCACTATTCGGCAATATCCGACAATTTAATTTAACTGTGGCAGCTATTACTCGACAACAAAGTGCGCGAAGAGCCGTAGTATGATTGAATTAGGCATGACATTTTGAGTGCTAGATTTTCGCCCAAATTATTCTAATATATGGCAAGAATTCGTACACAAAGCACCGAATTCGCGCGAGATTACAGTCTGCTTTTGGATTAAAGGATAGCCAACACTGTCGAAATAAGACAGCATTTGTATCCGTCTTCATTGATATCGCTGTAGTGGAGGCGCGAGTAGCGACTTTGAATCAGCGGCAACCCTCTTGCTAAGGACCCAAGCACTTGACTTTGCAGTCGTTTGACTACATATTCTTGAGTTATTAAACAGTGGATTCCTCCGAACTGACAATTTTAGCCGGGAGGCATTCTATGGTCTCCAAATACTCATAGGTGTGTTAAATATGTGTGTTAATGTGACAAAGCACAAAATCAAGCACATAAGAACTGTAAACAGCTTACAAGGACCTTACATCAAATATTTATCTGTTGTGCATAGTACAGCAACCTTTTTTCAGTCTACGTCGCTCAATTTTGCCGATCTCAGATGTGTGTCGAAAACGTGGCCAAATTCGATATCTAGGCGATAAACGTATCTCAACATGTCGGTGTTTACGCAATATCCTGTCGATATCGGCACGCTATTAGGGTACTGGTACGCTAGGCTAGAAAAGGTAACGATAAAGGCGACAGGGTAATGTGCAGAGGCGTGAAGTCACAGTTTCCCAGTATTTTAGATGTATTTACACAAATAATAGGTAGATACGGAGATATGGGTGGAAACAGGGGGCCCACAAAATGTTGTGCGGAAGGTGGGGTGGAGGCTCCGACGCAAAAATGTACAAATGACCTATGTTGTGCTATTTTCTAGAACTAAGGCATACTAATTAAGAATGGGTTAGTTTGATGGTTGATTACTATCCCGTGGGTTCATTCCTCTAAGACGAATTGCTTTGATACATTCGGTAATATTGGCGCAGTGTATTAACTTAGGCACTGTCACACACGCCATACTCCAAGTGCACATTGTCATTCCTCCCTGGTAACCCTTTTTTCTTGTTTTTATGCTTTAGGTCTGCCCAACCGACCATAACTCCAACAAGTATCCGACAGTATCCCCATTCCACCCCTCTGCACATCGTGTGTTTCTTTATCGATAGACAATAAACTCTCCTCATCTCTTCCCACGTTCTACGGTAGTGTGTGTGTGTTGAGAACCATTTGGTACCATCTTACCTGGAGTATCACAGCACTGCGAAAGAGGAGGCAACTGGCTAAATTTTACGGACCCTCATATCTTTCAACCCACCTACTTTATACAGTTCAGGATTTGCGTAGGACAAAAAACGATATGAGGGTCAACTGATTCCGAATTAGCTGTAAGCATCGGTGGGAGGAGCGGCATGCACATTAAAGAAGCTAACCGCGAGAGTTTTTATAAACACGGACGCCAACAAACACAAGGATATTATAACTTAACAGGAAGGTTACGCAAAAGATAGCTGGATTACGAATGCACAGACAAACGACCCCACGAATAAACAAGGTCCAACCTGTCAGGGCCGGTTATTGTCTTTTCTGTTTGTGTTTCAGCCCAGTAAAACATGACAAGACAGTCAATGGCAAAGGTGTAGAATTTGTATCAAACTAAGTACTCCCAGGGGTCTTATTAGTCTTCTGTTTACATCGAAAATGACATAAAATCCTGGCGAGAAAATTGTTTTCTCAGGAGAAATATGGAAGTGGGCGTTAGTCTTAGGGCAGCTAGGAGGGAAAAATCCAGGGACGGAGACAAGAAAACGAATATTTTCGTCATACAAAAATGACATTTAAAAATCGAAAAGGACCTGTCCAATACGAATAAGGACAAATAAAACGTTGCATAATCAATCGAACCAGAGGGTTGGACGAAGAACTGGTTGTGCACAACTGTTCGAAATCCTCAGATCCTAAATTAATTGAAATTTGTTTATAATTAAATATTTGACATATTAATGCGTCACTTTTCAACAGATCTTTGTTATATATCGAGAATAACACACAAATCCCCATACACTCTCTTCAATTAACCATGATTGATGTTAAGTTCGCTAACGACAAAGTAGATCTTCCGTCCATCGTGCGTTTACAGAATTTTACCGATAAACATGAACACATTTTTACGATTTTCGAGTTGCTAACGGGCTCAAATACATTTGCGTACAGCCTGACGAGCATGCCACACATACAGTCGATCATACATTTGGTTTCATCAGGAGTCGCGGAGAGATCCAAATGCAGACTCAATTTAGTTTACCGCAATATACACCGTACGGTTTACCTAAAATCATCATTTCGAAAGCCTATACATTCGTGCGACCTAAACATCCGCATAGCTACCACCAAAAGGCTTCACTTTACGAGCAAAAATAAACCGTTCTTAGAAACCTTCTACTCACAGACCGATGTTGAGCTTTTCCTACAAAACCCCGAATTAAAAAGAAGTCTGCGGAAACTAAACACATTTGCAGGTCAATATTTGACACAGATGCAAATTCGCAAACTTCGGTGAAAGGACACCAGTTACAAACACGATAATGAGCACTCCGGTCCCTCAACTGAACCTCTAGCCAGTATTCTATTTCTGACACTAACAAAAAGAAATACACAGACCAGCGTAAACAAAATGATAAACTCCCAGCCCCCGCAGAAGTACCTCCAGTAAGTACATCGGACTCTAGTTCACTGGACAAAAAACGCGTAGCTGCAAAAGCAGTTAGGACTGCTGGGCACAAAAAACAACAACGTTCAACTAGAACAGAACAATGACGCCGATCCCGGACACAGTCATGTGACACCATGAGATAGAAGAATAAGTTTTACTACGCCCACCTCCCCCCCCCCAAACACCGATCAACCAGAACTAGAAATCGACTGCCAAACAAGACGCACAAACTAGAAAGCCTTATTAAACATACCTGCACAAACAACACGCATTAAGTATGTAGACAGCCGTGGTGGGGGCAGTTGCGTCTACGTTAAGCAAACACTTGCATTTCTGCCGCTTGACCTCCCGCATTTTTCCGCAGTGAAGGCAGCACTAAAAGTTGCACAATTTGCACCAAAAATAAGTTCTCCTCACTAGTTGGCTGTGCTTATCGTCCTCCCAACGCCAACGAAAATTTTGATCGTTTACTCTCACAGCCATTTTATGCTGCGACCGACTTGAGCTTTAAGTATCAATTGGTTGCGGGTGACTTTAATCTCCCTGAAGTCCGCTGGTCTCCGCCTTCAGGCCCCAGAAAGTTTGAAGACTTTCTTCAGACTGTGGATGTTGGAATGTGGACTCAGGTTGTCGATTTCCCCACCCGAGGCTCAAGCATACTTGACCTAATTTTCTGTAGAGACCGCATGCCATCGTCAGTGTCATCCCTAGGCCCACTCGGGGGCTCAGACCATGACATAGTTGTTTCAACATTAGAACTCAAGGCTGACAAAACGTTGTCCCCAAAGTATAGCTTTTTCCGCAATTTCCGACCAACTCGCTCGACCGAATTATTACCACACCTTAATTCCTACGACTGGAATGATTCCTTCCTTAGTTCGGCTGTAAATGTTTGCACTGCAAATCTGTACGAAATTTTGGATCCGTTTATTTCTCGTTTTGTCCCCCGTAAGAAAATTATTTATGTTGGGGATGAGATTTTCCTACCCTTACCCTTTTCGTCGCAGATTGCGCAGGCTTTATCGTCGTTTCCATCTTCAGAACGATGTTTCTGTTCTGCCATTGATTTGTGATATTTTTGACCGAGCTAAGAGATTTTCTGAAGAAAAACAGCTAGCCGAAGAGGTCCACTTTACCGAAAACCATTCGTTAAGTGTCTCGAAACTTTTCTCTAGAAAAATACGAACTCAGAGAAAGACGCAGCATCCCATCCTCCGAGACGCCCTCGGAAATCCCATAGTTGATGCCCAGTTAACCGCTGATAGTTTTAATGATTTTCTGTCCAAAACGTTCATTGAAGACTTGACCACTCCACTTCCGACCATCCAGGCACTGACTGGGGCAGTCCTAGAAACTATAACTTTCA